GCAATCAAAGTTTTACAGTGCTTGCCTTGTCTTTTTTTGCCTTCTATAATGTGGAACCTAAATCCTAGCTTCTTAAAGCAATGAAAAAAATATAATTGATCATGAATTTGTATAACTAGATCGTTTCATAATACAATGACATATTTATTTCTGTTCCTTTTCTCTGCTTCACATCAGAAAAATCCCATCATTATAAAATCACTTTATTCAAACATGTATAAAATGTAAATTTTTCACATGGTTCATACAGAAATTCAAAAAACTAGATAAAAATGAAAATAATTAAATAGGGTCGTCATTTCATTCGAAGGTTTTTTCGCTAAAATCTGAAAACGATTACAAAATATGAGCCTCGTCGGATAGAAATCGACCTTATGGCAAAATTTATCGAATTTGAGATTTTTGTGTTTTTTAATGGTCCAAGTTAAACCATTACAGAAACTGAAAACGGAATCAAAATATCTCCATTTATAACAAAGTTATTACATTTTGAAATTGGTATGTTTGCAAAATTAACTCTGAGTATATCGTGTTTTTTTTTCACGATTCAATTGTGACGTCATGGTTTATTCTCCGTTGTTCGGTAAGGCACCTGTCAACGCGTAGCAATCCAAGCGGTCATCATGTCTAAGTTAAAAGAATTGCTTAATAAATGACAAAAACAGATGATCATGATGTACAATCCCAAAAACTGTGTTAATTAACTGTATTTTAAATCCTTTAAAAAACGAATACTCACCCCCCCCCCCCCGATCTTTAATTTCTACTTTTCTGTCTTTCGTACCGACAGCTTTGTCTCTATGAATAACTGAACTTCCAATAAACAAAATATAGATTTACACTATACTGCTTTTAAGTTTGATAAAGCCTGTATTCTCAAAGCATGCAAGTTAGTTAACACACTATGTTTAATTTTACGTAATCACCATGTAAAGGAAAAGGGAACCAATTTAGATAGAGTCAAAATTTACAGCGATTCGAATTCGATCTCAGAATACCTTGTTTATTACAGCAAAATACAAGAACCATGCAGTCAATAAATTCACAACTTAAATCATGCCATACTGTAACGTGAAGCGGTCACCCATCCAAGAGTTAAACAGGCTCGCCGTTGCTTAACTTGCCTGAAATAGAGGGAGACTCTACCGCATCACCAGAAAAGCTAGCTCACTAGCTAGGCAAGTTCCCTATTTATACTGTCCGCTACACTACAATAATTACTCTAAAGTTAAATTAAAAAAATCACATCCATCTGTCTATACAAAGTGATTACGTGAAATCAAACAAGCATGATGTGATACTACACCTGTGTCTAAAAGTAAGCTCATTTTATTCGGATTTTTTTCCCTAAAACCGTTTCTACTGCAGCCACATTCACCTTCAAATAGCTAGTTCATAAATATACACCCTGTTTTCCTCCACATCATTCTCGCTTGGTTGCAATTTAGCCACTGTGTCTTTGTATTATTACCCCCCCCCCTCTCCTAGTAAAAACCCAATCGTCTTTTCATCAAATGTCTATTATCCATAATGTAGAAAAATAAATACTAGTAAGTAAATATACATGTACAAATAATTGATTGATTGAATTTTGCTTGACGCCGAGCCGGCAAGATTTCAGCAATTATCGGCGGGAAATTTTTATCTGTTGCATGCAAAATACATGTAGTTGATAACCTTAATATAGGGAACTATTTAACGTTCCATCCGACGGACTATAATTTCAAAAATATGTTAACAGTTAAAAAAGATTTCTCTCTGTGTTCATCAACAAAATATCTCATAATGTACAAAATTTTACTTTAAAAATCAATTTGATGTGAATAATATAAAATTCATTGTTAGATAAAATTATAATCATGCATCGTTCGTACATTTTTAATTAACTTCGAACGCGAGAGACCTCACCTAATTTAAAAGAATAAGTTTTATACTTACATGTAGCGGAAAGTCACGGGAAACATAATTGTTTGCACATTGGTAAGCTGCAATTCTCGACTCAATAAGTATGCATGCATTATTTTTGGAATATGATTTTTCATTTTTTTTGGTTCTTTATAGCCTATAGTTTATCATCATCGGATACCCAAGGATGATCTCATCTTTACTCATCACTGGGCGATATGTAAAGACGAGATCACTCGTGGATTTCCGACGATGATAGTTTATTTGTAACGCAATATTCTAATGCATTTTCAAAAAGAGATTTTTCATAAAGTTTACAAAATATTTCTATCAACAGAAAAAAAAATGAACGGATATCAATATGAATTTCAGAAATGCAAAAATTATAATTTCTTTGTTACATGTTACTGGAGTAATAGAAATGCATTGAAGGAAAGAAAAAGATAAACACAAGCTACATTGAATTACGATATAAAACCATGTGCCAGAACATTTTCTTTCTTTTACAATTCAACTAACTGCAAACGAACTAAATGTTAAAAAGAGAATTGATTACTATAGACTGTATGGATTCTAAAATAAATTATTTCATATTTAGCCGGCGTGATAGCTTTTTATACATGTATGCTGACTTAAGAACCCCCCCCCCCCCCAAAAAAAAATAAAAAAAAAATAAAAAATAAAAACAACAACAACAAAAAACCATTTTTCTCTCCTTTAGAGAAAAATAATATGTATGAAGGCACGCAGCGTACGGATCGACAGAATTCTGTAGTCCCGTTCCTAACCCTAACACTTATAAAATTATAGACATTTCATAATTATTTGTTTTATGATTTTGTAAATAAAAAAAAATCAAAATATATTAATTAAAAAAATGAGATTTATAATCAAGTTATCTGTTGTGGGTATCCACCCTCTCTTTAAAAAATAGAGAATTGTAGAAGAATTTTATAATGTAGAGAACGTATTGATGTTATAATTTGAAAGTCTTAGTACAAAATGAAACCATATTCCAGTTATTCACGAACAGGTGAAATCCTGCTCAAGATGATTTTTGCGGAAGAGTTTGGTATTAAGAGTAATTTTTTTTGTTGTTTACAACTCAACATATTAATGACATAGAAGGATATATATGTTTTACAAACCGGGCCCATCTTACATTTTCGCCAGCCAAGTTAAAATCATAGGTGATCCATCGTCGGTATTTTTATATACTTGCAAAATAAGGAGTGAAATATTTAAGAACATTAACTTAAAATCTGGTAATGGAAGAGAGACAAAAGTAAAGATAGAGAAAAAAAAAACATCTTTTTTAAAGAAAACGATTCCCCGTGTTGAGCCTCTTTTTGCGTCAAAGGGAAGCAACTTGCACAATTTATCGTATCCAGTCGCTTCGGACAGTACGTGTTTCCGTTTGAGAATTACTGATATATGAAGAAATTGCCTTAAACAATACCAGTATTACTTGTTTCTTGATATCTCTTGTAGTTAGAAAAATGCGTTTTAAAAGTTGTTGAATTGTGGCCTTTGTACATTTTGTACTGAATCGATATGCCTAGCTGTTTGTTTTGTTTTGGTTGGTTGGTTAATTTCTGTGATAAAATTTGAAAATACACGTAAATCCATTCAAAGACATAAAACATTAAAGTATATCTAATATAACATTGCGAATTTAATCGAGAATGAATGAATACACGTGCACACGATGATAGTAAATGAAGTTCAATCACACACTAGGCTATTACTGCATCAGTACATGTGCGATTTTCTGTGCCAGATTACGTCTCCTCTGGATAAAATTTATACTCTAAACTACAATAAAAATATATTCTGTACTTCCTCAGTAATGCATCATGCCATTTTTTTCTTCGCTATATGTCTACCAACTTATTATTTATCTGGTGTTAGATTTGGCCTTACGTCTTCTGCTGTTCGAAAAAAAAAATGTAGATCGGACTCGGCATTCCTCTGGCCTGTGTTTACATTGATCCATGGTAACAATGAAAAAGTTTAAGGCTCTATGAAGGGGAATACATTTAAAATTTGTTTATTTTATTAGTACCTGTTTAAAATGATCCGACTTTTTAAAGAAAAATTCTTTGAACTGCAGTTGACGATGTCTGAAACATTCCTTAAAGTGAAAACCATGTGTAGTAAAAATACCGGGAAATCTTTCTCAACTTTATTCGCTTTTTTCTCATTATGACGTTGCATACGATAAGGTCGATTTCTATCCGACGAGGCTCATATATATGCAAAGGACACTCAAAATAACCCTACCGTCGTCTAAATTAATTCAAACAATGAAATCCGTTAAAGTCGTGAAAATTTTTGTTTGAATGAAACGTTTAGGTCTTTTTATCGATAGTCAGTAGATACATCATAACACGCCCACTTCTTTATATTTGATAAAGCAATATCATCGCAATGTTTTTAAAGGACACCCAATACACTGAGACTAACTCAGAGAGTAATGCAGAAATTTTTTTATGCACTTGGAAGAGTGAGCTAGTGAGAGACCCTCGTTTCTGCAAATGATTACGAATTGCAACAATTTACCACAGATTAACATGCATTACATGTATTTATATATCATGTCATGTTAGTTTAAGTTATTTAAACACCTGTATCGATTGAACCTGTGTTTACTCATTTAAATATGCATTGCCTGTCTGATTGGACATTGTATTTTTGGAGTATCTTTTCCACATGTACTAAGCATGTGCAATGTCGTGAAAATAGAGCGTTCTCTTTTAATGTAGACTAATGTTTCACGCCCATCCGTCCCTACAGCAAGCCACTTTCTCCGTTTTGAAGAAATGAGTGAGTCAAAATGTAGCAACATATTTTTCAGATGAAAACAGGACACTTCATTGAAAAAAAAACCCACTTGTAGGCGCTTCTTTGACATGTTCAACAGACTTTAACATTAACAGTTATAGACAGTAAAATGCATAATAGTTGATATGATTTATATTTAAAAAAAATTATGAAGCAAATGACATATATGAATATAATAACTCTAGGTAATACATTGTCATCACATCATAGAAATAAAAAAAAAATGTTTTAAAAGCCTTTTTTAGTGGAATGACTTTAAATCATTGAAGTGAGAGGACTTTGATTTCTTCAGATAACCATTCTCCGACATACAGGTTGTCATGTTTATCTATACGTAGCGCACGCGGCATATGCACGTGGTTGTAATGAATGAAGTGAATCAGATTCCCGTTTTGATCGATCATATGAATTCTGTTTTTCAGCATGTCCGCTATAATTATGTTTTTCCTGGAATAACAACAAATACCGTATGGGTCAAACTGAGGGTCACTTTGTGTTCCTGTGTACCGGAATCTGAGAAGGCCACCGGCGTCTGTGACGACCACGGCGTTCACATCAGAAACGCAGATGTCTCCGTTTCTGTTTTCTGCTATATAGGTCGGACAAATAAAAAGTGGCCTATTCTTGTCTGTTTCAATTTCAAGGAGTTTACTTCCAGTCTGAGATAACTTGAGTACTTTACCTAATGAACGGTCATGCACCTGATGGTTCCAGAGACTAACCAAAATGGATCCAGATCTACACGCTGCTATTCCATTAGGGGTGTATCTATTTAAAGGTTCATCATGCAAAGGCCAGAATGGTCACAGATCTCCGTAAGATGTGTTATAAGTCAATAATGAACTGTTATCCGATATTATGAAACTTTCCTGTATATCTTCGTAGTATCTACCATAGGTAAAACACAAAGAGGCACCATGAGTAGACAAACATTGAATAGTTCCAGCTTTTAACTCACAAGAAGGGGGTTTCTCTTTGGTGTTCACAACAGAAACACACACTTTTCCATCATATACACATTTGAGATCAGTTATATACGTCTGTCCATAATATATTGTTCTCACTATATTCACCCGATGCAGAACGGCAGACAAAACTTGGGCTTGTATCACCTTGTTAACTATCATGAAAACAAATTAAGAAAATCTTGTTCATGTACATCAATTACTGCTGTTTCATTTCATAACAAAAACTTAAAAGTCAAATACCATACATCACAAATTATATTATATTCATGACACTTTATTTTATCGAGTTTGTTTTTTGATAGTAAAGATTCCATGATTTTTGTTCTATATCATTTCTGCGAATAAATGCAAGAACTTTATTTTCTATGATCTCGCATTTTTACGTCAATTTCTAGGAATAGAACCGATTTACATTATTGTTTATAAGTACATCAGTCATAATTTAGCTTTCTTCTTGTGTTCAGATTTGAAGAAATCAAAAGTGCACTCCAAGAACAAAGATTTGTTGGCATGTAGTCAGATAATCAAGTTGATAATTTCGTTATTGGTGAGACGCGTAATAATCGTATTTAAAAAAAGTACCAGTGATGCAGTATACAGTTAGGACAGACGAAACGTTCCTTAATACTATATAAAATTTTCCGAGAATTTGGCATTGAAGTATTGCTACTTAAACATGTTTACTCACAAAAAAATTGAGGTACCTTTCCAGGCATTTCTGCAAGATACAGGGGGTCGTTTTTCTTATCTAATCCTTTTGGAAAGAAAATTGATTTTCCAATTTCAAATGTTTAAGTGTTTGGATGTTTAAAAAGACGTTTAGAAACTAGTTTAGAATTCACAATGTAATGAAAATTTTGAATATTTTTTATACATTACGAAGATATACAAAACAGATATCTAAGAGCGTCTAATCTGACCTTAAATATGAAATAAAAATCAAATATTCTTTTCAAATTAATTTAAAAATAGTGCATTAAAAATGCTCTTTGGAAGTTACATGTACAAAAAAAAGGATCTAGACGTAAATCATAGTTCATAATTAAGGCAGTGCGTAATAAACAGATTAAGCGAAATTCCATCACCTCTACAAATATTTCCTTTGGATAAGGGTCTCGGAAAAAGTGAATCTAAAGTATGAATTGCGATGCCGAAAAAATTTCTTTCTGAGAAAAAATATCAGACTGTCTGAGGCCCCTCAGGGTCGAAAATGGTCTGGTATTTTTTTTAACCTGAATCGGTTCGATATTTTAACAAAAGAGAATTCGAAAAAGTTAATTACTACTGAAGCAATTCTTTAAAAAATCATGTTTGAATGAAAATTACTACTTTTTTTTCTATATAATTGTAGGTATTTGACGTGATAAAGTTGTATAAAGAATAGTAAGGTCGAATATTTTAAACCAAACATGCAAATACCTTAAAGCAACGTATTGGATTATGATTCAGACAGTCTATAGTGAATGGTATTTCTAAAATGAAAAGGGAAATACAGAGTGGGACTTTTGATGTGAACTGAACAATCACAAAATATAAAACAGAAGATGAAAGTGTATTTTAAATTTCAAATTTTTGAATAAGAATTAGATTTTCCTATTCCGTATGATCAATAAAGGAAACTCTGTTTGAAATTGCTACTGTACTTATAAGATCTTAAATGCTTAAATGGATTTTAAACTCTAGTTCTGTATATAAAGCAGCTTCACTCCAAAATACCCTCATCCAAGACTCAAATTCCGTAATAACCTCAAACTGATGAACTTCTAATAAAAGGGAAAGGAAAACAATCTTGTAATCGTGAGAGAATATCACAAACGGATTGTTGTGACCAAGTCACAAATATATAAATATATATTCATACCTATATCTTTATACCTTATATCTATAAATACAGTGTAAATATTTCAAATAGAGTAATATAAAATTTCTAGATTTATATATTTAACAAAGAAATTTGACAAAACGTCTGCTCGAAATTATTCAGAATTTCACTTTAGAATCTAAAAATACCAAAGAGAACTGAAATACACGTACGCTCTCATACCCTGAAGTGTTTCGGAATAGGTAACACAGCAGGTGAATTGTGTGTCTCTTGTTGATTTATGATAGGAATATCCGTTTGAATACTTCTTCAAGTTAAAAAATACTTCAACTAATGCTTTTCATCAAAAACGTATCATCTAAGTTTTTACTACTATTATATTATTAGATATTGTTTGAATAAAAACTAGCCAGATATATATCAAGATTGAGCATATACAAAGCAAGACACACATTCACATATCTAGAGTGTTCTTTTGTTAAGCAAAGTGTCAACAAGACTATCTTCTCTCCAGACTGAGTAATATAGCCAGAAGAAACGTGAAGTGTTAGTTGAAGTTTGGTTTAAATAAATCTAGATTCAATATTGATTCAACACTGACTTTTCAACGTTGAAAATGTTACGTTGATTCAACATTTGTATTGCCAACATTGATTCAACATCGGATCTTTGGCTAGTGGGAATCGTATCTTTTGATGATACATAAATCGGAATATAAAATTGTAGGAATACAAAAATGGTTGACCATTATAAGGTGGGACTTGACAAATTCGCACTACTATATATAATTGACAGATAGCTTAACTAACAAGGATGGTAAGTATTTAAATTGTAAACAATGATTGCTATGAATTCAGAACGAATTCGCAAAATTTGAATTTTAAGAGGTACGTCTTGAGAATTTCGAAATTTCGAAAATTTCATAGATACAGCTGTGATAAAGTTTTAAAATTTAAAGCTCGGTTTATTATCTTATGTATATAGTATCTTAATCAATTGTGATAATGGATGTTTTCGAAATCCAACTGGCGCTAATGTCAGTCCACCAATTTTTTTAATGAATGTATCAAGGTTACATTGAAGCTACTCAATTGTTAATTGATGTTTTGTCAACTAAACGTTGAATCAACATATATAATCAACGTTTATTCAAAAGTTTTTTTTTTATTTTGTGTACCTGTTGGATATAAATAAATTTCGTCTCTAAATGTAATTTAAAAAACGGATTTGATTATTGAATGAAAAAATATTATAAGTTATGCATAAATTTCAAATAGTTATGTATTTAACAAATAAAGCTCAAAAATGGAAAGCATATAAAAAAATATGTTTTTCTCCTTAACATTTACATTTGTTTATCTTTTTAAATGTAAGCTCTATTGGTGCTCCATACATCCACACCAAATTTAAACAACCCCAAAGATCATAATCATTTTCTGGTTGTATAAACTGGTATCACGAGAAGAAAATAAGTCGATCAAGGATGATTGCTCAAGAAAATTAGAAGAACTTTTTTTAATTGATGGACGTTAGGGCCAGTAATAATAATACATGTGAAGGTCATTTTACATATTGCATGAAGTATTTTATAGAATACAACCTACACTAAATCCACACAATTTTCATTTAGACTACAAGTTAAATTATATGTTTTTCTTGACCACTATAATTTGTATCTTCCAAACTGGAGTTCTTTTTGTTGTTATAAAAAAACGGATTCTATAGCCTATACGTGACATTTACTTATATTTTATCCCGGTATGTAGCGTGTGTAGATTTGTCCCAAAGTGATTAAAAGTCAAACAGGCAAGGCAGAAATACTTTTGTATAATTTTATTGACGGACTTTGTTAAAAATAATTAAAGAAACATTGTTAGTATTAACAATATAGTGGATAATTTTCATAAGACCAAGTTAAATGCAACTTTACCTGTTAGGTTTTACGTCTTACCTAGAACAATTTGATTTTGTTTCAAATGAAAGATTAATAATACACCTCACCTACGACAGCCAAAACGTGTAATATTTGGAAAGAAAAAATCAGAGACTCGGGAATTACATTTAAGAGCCCAGTGGAACTGTTCCTCCAAACGACCATACACTAATGGATAAGAGTCTTGAACAAATGCATGTGACACAGAAACAAAAACAATCTATAGATTGACTTGATCCTCTAGTAATCACCGCACCCTTCTTTTCTAATTTCATCCGCAGGTGATTTTGGACAGGACTTTCCCACAATATTCAACTGAATGATTTGTAGAAATTGTTAGCAAGTAATGTACAACACTTCAGTCATGAGATAATTTTGATAGAGTAACCGTAATGGATTATAATGCATCACATATTTTTAAGTACTGGAGAGTAATCTGTAATCAAAGATACTTTAACTTTTTGTTATCGTAATTAAAGCAATTGCAGCCGATATGCAGTCTAGTCTTAAAGTTATCGATGAATTTTCATGCCTTATTCATGTTTCTCTTTTTTTTCTTGTTCACTGAAATTTCAATAAAATTTACATTACAGACTGTGTGGTCTAGTATTAAATAATTCAGATGTATAGCTCAGTCATTTAGGATATACATGTATATTTATTATGTGTATTTTATAGTTATGTTTATCTAAATAGAAATTTACAAATCATTAAAGCTGTAATCCTTAGGTTATCTGTTTGGTCAGTAAGAGTGTACAATTGCGATACAGAGAAGGAGGAGCTGAGATGTCTCTGTATTTATTTATCTTGGTTAATTGACTGAGAGATATGTATCCCTGACAGAAAATAATGAGGTCGGAATAATTAGCTATGAATAACATTTCCAGTCGACATTTATATTAAAGATAATCAGCATTTTAAGAACAATTGATAGCTCTCAAATCACAAACTATAATACAAAAAGGAATAATTCTATCAGTCACTGGTTTATTCCTCGGAATATTTATTTACTTAATATTATCTTTTTAAAAAGAAAGCAAAAGAACTTTCACCGGCACTGCCATCATGTGATCAGTCTAAATACTTCTATACTACAAACAATTTAATATTTTCTACAAGTCTGATCAAAGAATATATAAGTTCAGATCCAAAAGTGAAAGGAATGGTACATTTTTGAGGCGTTTCAGCGGGTACCGTTGGTTTACTTTCAGTGGTAGATATAGCCTGAATACATTTAATTATTTATTGTTTAAAATAATACGTTTAAAGTTCAAAATTTAACCAAAAAAAAGTTATATTTACAATCTGCACTGAATTTCACACTATTAAACAAACTCAACTTTGAACTCAAGTAGAAATCAATAACATCACCACAAAACATTTGAATACATTTTTGCAGCAGTTTTGATATCTTATTGGGAAAAGAATTGGAAGAAATCAATAACAAATCGATTATATCTTTCAAAGCCATCGATAATTATCAATAACAGCACAAAAAAAATTGGTATTGATTAATGCTCCATTTCACCGAATTCCTCTTTGTAATAAATTATACAATCATGATTATATTTTAACATAATCTTGTCTGTACCTAGCTAGAAAAATATATAATTTAAATCCTTTAAGCAAATTAAGCAAATATCATTTAAATCAATAATTGTTCGCAAATTTGCACATAAAAACTGAAGACTTCGAAATTTAAAAATGTACAAAAAGGGATATTCATATACATTATTACCACACACCAGTCTCGAGAAAATATTTCTTCTACTTCTATCATTGACGTGAAAGTACTTTGATTTCCCAGAAGCCCATTCTCCGAAATACAAGTTATCATGCTCGTCTATACATAGAGCTCGTGGTTTGTTCATATCTTTATACTGAATGTAGGTGAAGAAATCCACCATTCTCGTCAATCATGCGAATTCTGTTTTATCCTTGAAGCCCTTCACTGGCATACGGTAATCAGGCATACGGTGACGTCTCCATTGAAAAATTCTCGAGAGGGACGTTAAACAACATAAAATCAATCAATCTATTCCAGGTTAGTTACTTGAGGATTCTCGCTTTAAGGACCCTGAACAAATGTTACACCAGATTACTTCACGTTATTTAGAAACTCTATCTTTTAAATAGTCGCACATTGAAACCATGCTACAAAACTTGAAATCATGAGAGAATCACATTTAAACGGAAATCAAGGTGCTTTTAACAAAACCATCTTTTTATGTAATAACTCTAGATTATCGTAATAAATTGAACATATGTTTCATTTGTTTTAAAAAAAAATATTTTCTCGGCAAAAAGTGTATTCTTATCTATAAAATCGCATATTTATATTTCTATACAAAACCTATAAATGAAGAAAGGGGTATGAAAAAGAAGAGTAAAGTTAAATTAACTTCAAATATGTTACACATGTACAAAAAGTTGTTATAATACATAATACTATGATTTTAAACTCTTGTATCCTCTTAGCAAAGGGAATGTGAAAAACCAGATGACTATCAGAATTGCCGAGTTAGAACATGAAAATATTTTTTTACAATGAAATTCTAATGACACAATAGAAATCTATTTGCATGAAAATATATATGAAAACAAAAAATGAAATAAAAATCAATCAGTACCGTGAATGGAGTTATTTTAAGGTATTTCCATCCTCGTATGATGTCCGTGGGTATCCGGGTTAGAATAGGTCCTCAATACCCCCTTGCTTGTCGTTAAAGGCGACTAAATGGGGCGGTCCTTCGGATGAGACCGTGTAAACCGAGGCCCCGTGTCACAGCAGGTGTGGCACGATAAAGATCCCTCCCTGCTCAAAGGCCGTAAGTGCCGAGCATAGGCCTAAATTTGCAGCCTTTCACCGGCAATGGTGACGTCTCCATATCAGTTAAATATTCTGGAGAGGGACGTTAAACAGTATACATTCGTATGATGTCATACTTATTTGCAAAACTTTAATTTATTTAAATTCATAACCAAAAGAACGAGGTTTTTCAAAAAAATGCTGTTCAATATGTGTAATGCAAAATATTATTAAGAAATAAGAAAATAAAAAATGTATATTTTACTACATGTATTTAATGATTTACACTGTATTTAATCTTCAAAAATTGTGACAAGGGTAATAACTCCTCCTCAGAAATCTTCATTTAGATATTTTGTATATTGTACGAGTACTTTTACTGTAAAATGGTTTCCCTGATATTCACATATCAAAATTATCTTCTGATTAGCAAAAGTTTTGGAACTCTTAGTATCCGAATTATGCAATTGAACCAGTTTTTTTCATAATATTTACAATACTTTAAAAACAAAAATAACTTTTTTTTTCATTTAGACATACACTTCTGTTTATTTATTTTTAATATCTTGAATTTTACGGCGACCTATAACTTTTTGCGATAATTAGTAAATTAAAACTATGATACATGAAAATTAATGCAGTTTTTGTACTTTGAACCATAATAATTTCGAGGGTTGAAAAACCTTCAGTCATTGGCTCAGAAGTGAAAGTACTTTAATTTCTTCAGACATCCATTCTCCAACATACAGGATATCATGCTTATTTATACAGAGAGCACGTGGCATGTGCATGTCTTTATACTGAATGTAGTGAAGCAGCTCGCCGTTCTGGTCAATCATATGAATTCTATTTTTCACCATGTCCGCTACAATGATGTTGTTCTTGGAATCACAACAGATGCCGTAGGGATCAAACTGGGGATCGCTTTGTGCTCCTGTGTACCGGAATCTGAGAAAACCCCTGGTGTCCGTAACGACGACAGCATTCACATCAGAAACGTATATGTCTTCATTGCCGTTTTCTGTTAAGTAAGTTGGGCAGATAAAAAGTGGACGATTTTTGTCGGTTTTTATTTCAAACACTCTTATTCCAGTATGAGATAACTTTAGTACTTTACCTATAGAACGGTCATGTACCTGATTGTTCCACAGACAAACCAAAATGGCTCCCAATTTGCACATTGCTAATCCATTTGGTGTGTATCCACCAGTTAGGTCATCTGGCAATAACCAAAAACTGTGGAATTTATCAAAGGCATATGTTTCACCTGGCAAAGGATATCTTATATAGCTACGATTTTCTATTCTACATTCAATCAATGATCTCTCAATTATATTCCAAAAAATGAATCCTTCACCAAACTCGTCATTTGTATAACACAAACAGGATCAATGGGTAGAGAGAAAAGGAATGGAATCATCTCTTAATATGCAAGAAGGATCGATGCCGTTTGTGTTTTCCACAGAAACAATAATCCTTCCTTTATTTACATATTTGAGATCAGTTATATACTTCTGTCCATAATTAATTGTTTTTGTTATGTTCACTCTTTTCACAACAACAGACAAAACCTCGGCTTGCATTATCCTTTTTATCTGTAATGAAAATAAATCTATGATGAAAAATAAATCATTTTTTTTAACATTTTAATTTGATACAAATAGAAACGCGTATCGCCAATATCATTCATACTTTTTTAAACTGGATTATTAACTTCACCACTTTTTAATGTTTTTAAGTTCGTTTTTATTTTCAAATTTGTACGAGTAAAAGGGATTTAAAGGAGAAAATTTTGCTTGCAACTGTCCTGTTACATGTAACATTGACTTGAGCCCTGTGACAATACCTGTATTTGTGAATAAAATGACATATTTATGGAATGCGCATTTTTAAAATGATGAATGCATCTTCTTCATCAGTCACTTTGAAATGTTGACGTTGCATGTCAAAGATTTGGTCTTTTACTTCCTACTATTGAGACCCCCCCCCCCCCCGCTTAAAAATATTAAAGAGATTAAGAATATACAAATTGTAGGAAATTTATCTGCCTCATTATACAGGATGAAATTGCTAATCTTGATCTTAAAGGTATATCTGAAAGCTATACATAAGTCATTAACTGTTTTATTATCTAAATCAGATACCTTTTTAATTGCATAACTATATCACCCAAAGTCTCAATTTCACTTAAAATTTTAAACTTCTTCAAGCTACAGATTTCTTAATAAAATCGACAGCAAAAGTCAAATTTCCAATTTTTACTACCAAAGCTCGTTAGTTGTTTTATTATCGATACATATGTAAGGACCAACAGCAAAAATAATTCTCCATCAGTATTCGTCGAGATCACTTGAGATTGGAAAGCAATTCCCGGAATTCAATGCAAAGTTTGACCCAGTTTCGATCAATTTTACGTTCTATAATGTATGTGGATTTAACCTTGTTTTGTGACCTTTATGGTATACTTTATGATTCTTACTGGTTAGTGAATTAATGAGGAGAATTTGCGGTAAATTTGAAAGGATATTTTAATTGTACAATTACATAATCTACGGAGTTTAACAATGGACGATGAGCGTCGCTCAGGGTCACAGAAGGTTTATAATTTCTTTATATTCTAGAAATTTGTTATTTGCATCATTTGCAATAAAATTAGACCAAAAAATATATACCGATCCAGGCATCATTTTTTTTTGGTATCATCTGTAGCTAAGTTCAAAGAAAGGGCAGCTAATTGTTTAGGAAGCCGTAAAAGGACCCCAGCACTATAAGCTTGGGAATAAAAGCAGGAATAACCATCACAACATTCATGAGACAAAAATAAGCTACGTACTGGAAGAAATCTGTGTTTCATCAAAAACAGAGAAGGTAGGTGACATTCAACTTGCTGGTGGGATTACCCAATTTCAACCTGTGTGGAAATCTATCACACACAAAATACATCCTTGATGCTGTAAAGGGATAATCATTAGAGATCACCTCATTACCTGTTAAACAATTAGTGAGAGAAACTGAACTCAGTGCTGCAGAGACAGTTGCTCTACACAATTTCAATGAGTTATCGGAGAATAACAATGAAACTTCTACATCGTACAATGTATAAGTTTCTTATTTTCTTTAATTAAATACTATTTAATAGTGTCAGAGTAAAAAGACTACATTTTATAACCATATTTGTCCAAAAATAGACTTTTTAAATTGTTAATAAGACCATGATCTACACAACTTTACTTGCTAGGCTCTACTATTCTGAGAAAACGACTTCCTTATTGAAGAAAGATTCACTTTCGGTTTTAATGTATAGAATATCGTGCGTAAATGATGGCGGCAGACAATGGTCATTAAATTATATTGATTGTTTCCATATAAAGCCTTATCAGCAATTTTACAGTCATATTTAAAAAGGAAAACATAAACCATATTTTCGGAGAAATATTCTTGTTATTCTAGGAAACATAACACCCCGTAATGGTATAAAAATTTGATATAAAATATATTTAGCGGTATAAAGAGGAAAACATGTCTTTAGAACCTTAATCAGAAATTCAAATTTGCTATTCTTTTGCATAAAATAGTCCCATTTATCATGTTTAAATACTGTAATGCGAAATGGTTTAAGGGGAAAATCTTATCGTTTCGTCAGTTCATGTCATTGACAAAAAATAAATAATTATTGTTAAATAGTGCATCCATATCATTCAAAAGTTTGTCCCTAAAACCAGAAAAGAAATTATACGAGTACGAAATATATTTATGAAAAGTACACAATAATTTACCCTTCCATCGTCTTAATAAATCATTTAAAACTAACTGAGATATATGGAAGTGGTTATTTTGTTTCCTTTAAATGACATTTTTAGGTCTTTTTATTGAATAGCAATGATTAAATAATGATACGTCCATGTCTTTCAAACTGAAAAATCAATATTCGTCACATTATGAAATACATGTAAATCCATTACTCAAGGACTTGTTAGGAGAGAATAAAATATGCTAAGGATATTATGAAGTTGGAAATTCGGCTCGTATTATCGTTCTATCTGTCATGAAAACAATTTCCAGATTAAAATTATTAATCATATTAATTAACTCTTTTTATTTTCAAAAACAAGCAAAGTATTCAAGTTTAATAATATCATTAATACGGAAGCCCGTTGAGGCCAGTCTAAGGAAAGAAATCTTTTTATTGCGTTTAAACGCAAAATCGCAAGACTTTGCAATTCATCGCAATAATCATTGCGTTTAAACGCAAAACACTTTGCGTTTACTCGCAAAAGACTGCGATCAAAAGCAGTCTTTTGCGATTAAACGCAATAATATTGCGATGAAACGCAATAACTATTGCGTTTAATCGCAATAATATTTTCGCGTTTAATCGCAATAATATAGCGTTTAATCGCAATAATATAGCGTTTAAGCGCAATAATATTGCGATTAAACGCAATATTTTTTTGCAGTTAAACGCAAAAATCTTTCTATTTAAAAGCAAGCATTTCTATGGATTTTTGAAAGGATCCACGCTAATATATGTTTCTTTTTTCTTTTCTACATTAATCTATGAGGAGAATTGTGTTTTGTTAGGATTTATAGAATCAGATTTTTCTGAACAAGCATTTTCTGAATGGTTAAATCATGGTATGGATTTAAAGACGAGAATGAAGTGTTGTTGTGTAAAAACAAAAGTTTACACCATGTACCTTTATAAAGGGCTTAAGGAAACGACTGTTGAAATGTTTAGACTTATGTATATGTACATACACATATTATGTATATGGATATTCACAACCTTTCCTTTGTTCACATACAGTAAACATGAGAACACGAGAATTTATCTAGGAGATTGAATCCTACGGTCTACGCTTTTGGAGGAGAAGCGATAACAAAGTTTTTTGCATAAGGGGCAATAACTTTTAAATGGGTTATAATGTTAGGGGACAAGAAAAAAATCAAGTTTTAAGAATACATATGAATGACGCATAGACATTTAGTATATGTTAAAAGACAAAAGAGATATAAAAAGAGCTAAATTTCTCAGTTTTGGAATGACCTTGACCTTTGACCTTTACATTAATTTAAAGGTTAAAGGTCAATGAATCCTATGCAGTTGGTCCCATGTCTCTACGACTTGTCGTTTTGAAAATTTTAATTATTTGTTAAATTTAAAAACTTTCATGGGCAATAACTCATTGAAGGGGTCAGCGAATGCTTTCGCAATGAATAGATTGAAGAGTCCCCTTAATTAGTCAAAGGCATTGGTGAAGGTTTCATACCTCTTCGCTTTACGGTTTCAGAGGAGTAGCAATAACAAGCATTTCTTGCGAAAGGGGCAATAACTTCGAAAGGGGTCAAGGTTCATTTACGCAGGGTGACCTGCAATAATCTTTTACCGAGTACATTCTTATGGACTATAAATCTTTTCGATAAATCTTCAAACAAAAAAAAAACATGCGGCGGAAAAATAATGATAAAAAAAAAATAACTAGTAAACTAATTGTTCAGAGAACAATGAGACGTCTTTCCACCTTTTTAAGTGTTTCCGTGTCCTCTGGGTTGAAAAAAAAAGTGATTTCCAAATAAAATATCCCCCAGCCCGATTCGAACTCAGGACCTTCAGATTGACAGGCGAAATGAAAGCACATGGATTTAAACAAAAATAGACACACGTGCGTTTTTAAATAGTACAGAAACACGTGTATTTATTTGTTTGTGATGGAACATAGAGAGGAATAATGAATAGTTCTGAGAAACACGATTGGTGGATATAATGGAAATGCCGATTTCCTGTAAAACAATTCATTTGAGTTTGTATATACTTTGCATAAATTGAGCTAATCAAACAGACTTTATGATAAATTCGAACTTCCGTGTCGACTCTTTGTTTACAATTTATGAAAATATAGGCGCGTTCTTTTTAACAGATATGGTGAACTCATAGGTAAGATTAAATAACCATCTCTATTTGGATTGAATTAATAGTTATAAGCGTAAATTAAACTCGAAACATGCATTTCATGAGGAAAACTGTGTCACTGAGAGCGTGGAAATTTATTTGATAGGAAAATTCGCTATTTTCCAGATTCATTCGATTAATATCAAATCTAAATAAAATACAAATAAATTTGAGTTAGGGTCAAGGTCAAAGGTCAAGGTCATTTTTACCCCCCCAAAAAGAAACCCAGTATATAAGTAATTTTAATACTCTCTTAATAACCTTGACCTTTGACCTTGACCTATTCTCAAGGTCAAAGGTTGAAAGATCTCATGCATTATCCACATGTCTTTACGACTTATCATTAAAAAGGTTTCAGTTCTTCGTAAACATGAGAAACTGTGAGGGTCAAAAACTGCTTAAAATGGTTTACGTATTCTTTCACACTTATAGAATGAAAGGTGTACTAAATTAGTCGCAGACATTGTTGAAGGTTTTGTACCTCTACGGTTTATGGTTTCGGAGAAGTAGCGATAACAAGGGTTTACATTGAAAATGACTCTAACTTTTAAGGGGGTCTATGTTAGGGGACAAGACTGAAATCTTTAAAATGGTTTTAAGAGTACATATTAAAGATGCAAAGAGGTTTAAAAGTTGGTGAAA